AAAACATTAGATGGCACGGAACGTGATTTCGCATATGTACCTCTTGCATAAACTTTATATGCATATGCTAATATGAGAGTCAGGTTTCCTGAGATGTCGCCGCATATTATGTGCTATTTAAATAAACACCATTCCGCGAAAGTGCTTAAAACTTTATGTCTCCAATAAATCTATGAGACAAAGGAACGTTTTGTCTATATTTATTTAATAGTACGCTTATAAACAATCAATTGTTTTGCAATGGAAGAACAATTGATTAATATTCCAAGTATTCTTTTATTATAGGTGTCAATTCCTGATTATATGTAACTTTAAGTCGCTTGTTTTAATTTTTAAATAAAAAACATTAGAAATGGAAGTCGTGTTTTCATTGAGTAGATATTGTTTAACAGACGTTCGAAGAAGTTTTTAATACCATACAAAGGTTCTTTATTGTTAATATTTTTCAATATCAAGGACATTATACAAAAATTCTTTTTAAACTATGAAAGTGTAACAAGGGATGAGAGAAAAAATCTTTATGTATCTCAATCTCTAACTATGTATCTATATATCTATCCTTTCTCAAAATAGAACTAAATTTTAAGTTTGACCGAACTGCGAGTGTGATTTTACCTTTGTATATTTATATGTGCTTTTTGTGAGTATATTTCTTAAATTATTTTCAAATCCTTTTTAATTCGCACATTAAAATATAATGTGTGTAATAAAAATGTGTGTCAAATGTTGCAAGAAAATTATATTATTTTACGTAACAGATGAAGATTAAATTTTGAATATATGTACATTTAGTTTTGCAAAACAAAAAGCAAACTTAATAAATATATATCCAGGTAAATTAATATTTGTAACAAAAAATACCTTTTATTCTGAGGTTTTGATTTTAAAATCCTCATTATTTAATTATATTAAGATCAAAACACATTCATATAAATATTCTTATTTAACGATAGCAACAAACAAACAAACAAAAACTGCTTTTTCCGCAGTCTTATATAATCATATTTATTTATTAAATTTATATTCCAGTTATGGAATTTTTTGAGTACAGCTTTATGGTTTACTAGTTTTAATTTATGTTATATTTTTCTTGTCCTCAGTGTTGTCAATAGTAGTTTATTTTTGACCGCTTAATAGAAATCTTCAATACGAATATACATCACGAGCCTTCGTAAAAGTTAAAGAAAATTAGGTTTCCATTACGTTATCTTTAAAGATTATTGTAGAACAATTCAGTACCTACTGGCTACTACTTGGGTCAATATATGAATGACCTTTTGAGAGAGAATTGTTTTGAAAGGTATATTGATATATAGATGAACGAAAGGGAATGCTTATTACTAGTTTAAGGTACGGGTTTTAAGTCTTCCGCCTTTCCCAGCAACCAGCTTCATAACTGCCTTATCCATAGCAACCTGTTGAATAACACTGATCTGATCCGAAGCCAGTCGAACCAGTCGAGGAGTAAAGGGCATCTTTAGCATTCACTACAATAAACAATAAAGATTTAGTAATTTAATTCTAATTAAATATTATTATATTGACAAAGAATTAGCATTTATATCAATATCCACTGGAACTAGAATGGTTATAACGTCAACAAAAATTACTAAATCGGAAGATCCTCTCACTTTTATATATAGTTTTATTTGTTATGATTACCGAATATTAAATTCATATTTGGTGAAGTCCTTATTTAATTTTAATAATTGACAAATTTTTACTATAATTTTTTTTATTTGCATAATTATATCGAACAATAATTATTAATTTTATAATTTTTTGTAGTGTGTCATGTGTTTTGTGAATTTATATAAATCCTTAAAATAAAGGTATTATTTATAACCAGAAAAACAAAACAAATAAAGAAAGAGCCCGTCCGTTTGTGGCCTTGAATTTTCCATTGACGCCGGTGGTAGTGCAATGACACTAATGTTGAATGTCATCTAATGATTTCCAACAGCGCCATCTCTTGTCACTAATTAAAATCGTTTGTGAAATGTGCTACGTTTTAAGTTCTATCTACTCGCCACTAGATGGCAGTTAAAATATTAGTTCATTTTAAAGAATATCAGAATTGGTTAAAGAGAAATTATTCAATTTTACTCTTGGCTACTACATACTTCGTGTCAAGCAATTTGTTGAGATTGAATGGAATAATTAAAAGAAAACGTTACGAATTAAATTAAGTTGTAATTTTTTAGCATACAAATTTTATCGTATTTATACGAAGTATCACGTATTATTTTTGATGAAACATGCAATGGGGTCTGATAATAAACTATATGGAATAGACAGTTGAAATTAATAATAATATATTACTGTGAATTTCAAGAATCGGGAGATGATGCACAGCTTTTCATGTTATGGGAACATTACGGTTAATGGCTTCTGAATAAGATTATTTTCACAATAGATGAGTCAACTTTTTCTATGATTTTACTACCAAGTCGACATTATTTATTATCTTTTCATATATATAATTATTAAATATGCCCTTAATTTCAATATAAAATACATATTTACGATATAACTTTGATTGAAATACATTTTCACAAATTATACCGGAAATTAGCACTAATTGTGTAGATAATTAACAGCTATTTAATAGTAATTTACTTTTAATTAAAATTCTTTACATTAAACCATTTCTTGTCTGCCAATAGTTCCGTAAAATTTAATTATAAATAATTTGCATTCTACTGCACACTTCATACAGCCAAGCGAAAAAAAAATAAGTCCAGAATAAAACATGGATGTTTAAAAAGAAAATAAATAAAAAATAATATTCAAGCTATCAGGTTTCGGCGGCCATGATATTAACGGAAGCTGTAAATCACAGGCTTTATAAAAATTTATTTGTTTCTTGATCGTAAACCCACTTCGTATGAACCTTATAGGCGTATCTGATCCACAAAAGTTATGTTTTAAGAGTATTGCGCTTTTATAGTAATGGCTGTGTCGTAATAATATCATCGCTCACTAGCACAAAACTTACTACGGGTTTGCTTCACACTACATACGCTTCGTACCCAGTTTTTCCTTCCTAGTCCTAAGTTCTCATTATTCAGAAAACGCTCCGTAAGTAGTAAATCTAAAGAAACTAGTATTAAAGTTAGTATTCTCATTATTAATGGTTAGTAAACTTTTCTGTGTTCTATTCCTCTGAGTATTTAAACAATTGTATGACCCATCATTAGGCGTTATCAAAATTAACAATTAAAATTTGGAAAGCCTTTTAATTATAATCCCCTATATGATTTTCGTTGTCACGATTGTACACTAACAACATAGAAATATAATAAAATATGAATACATATGAAAAATAATGAATGAAATACAATAAAATATTTGAGCTTAATACATTATTGCAAGGAAGATAGAAAGAAAATTTAAAAAACGGAAACATTCAAAAACCTTTATCATTAATTGAGTTTTATATATAAGTTAGTAGGTACTTAAAAAGCCATGTAAATTAATAACAATAATTCATAGGCATGATCTCATCCATAGTGCAATATACTAAAACAAAACTATGATAAATTAAAACAATAGAAAATGTTATATTTCATATTGATTACGTAATAAATGATTTAATTTATATTAATCGCTCCTGATTCATAGCGACCATTGGACTCCGAGGGTACAATATTCATGATTGTGACCTTGCATTCGTCATTGTTTAAAGATCTAACGACAAAAGCGACTTAGGATTATAATTAAAAAGATAAACTAAATAAATCTTATTTTTATTTAATCTTTATAATTAATAATCGTTGATATCGGCTGTTTGACAAACTTATTTCATTCATTCAATTATTATAACCTGTTCTTTTTTTACGTACTGTCAAAAAAATGTTACCTGAGCTTGCTTTTTATATTGGAATCTGTACCCTTGTCCAAAGTTTGCATCTTCATACAACATACTAAGAAGTTTAAATTTTTATCATAACTATGTAGTTTTATAAGAATATCAGGTTATTTTTAATGAATGAGAAACTGGGAATGGTCTTTATGTAATGTGAAGAGGCAAGCTTGTGGTGACTATACGCCTACAACCCAGTACTAAGTAATAATTGTCTTAATTCTATTATTTGTTTATTTTAGACTAGTCAATTGTTCTATTATATTCATTTTTCACTTTAATGATTTTTATAAATGAAAGTGATATATTTTCGTTTATACTTAGTTTTAAATACAAAAAAATATAAATATTTCAATTCGTTGACCCGATTTTGAGCAGTCAGGTATAAGAATATAATAGTTACAATACGTGGTCAAAATGACTAAGCTACCTGATTTTACCAATATATTGAAACTATTCCTGTACATTAAATATAAAGATATAAAAATATATGAAAAACCTGTGTAATTAAAAATAAATTTAAGCAACTACTTCCTATTGTTACACTACAAATAAATAAATTATAATACACAATCACAATAAATTCATTTTTTTTTAAACCGTCTTACAAAAATCAATAAGATTTTGTTGTTTAACCATGTTTATATTCTTTTATTCACATAACACGCGTAACTTATACTAACTACATTTATTTTTAAAATCAACTCGTCTTACATTATCTATATTCATAATCATTGATACCATTAATATTTTATCTGTCCGCAACTTTCAGAAACGTACACCAATCATCTCCAGATCTATATTGCAACATATACATATGATTTAATGTACAATTGTACGTGTGCTTTCTTTATATGACGCAAATACATCATAAAGTTTATAAATGCACGTTGTAAGGACTACGGAATATTGTGACGGTTTGTATACGCTGTGGTTTGGTTCATAGTAAACTTCAAATTCGTAACAGTCGCGTTCGGGCGTCGAGAGCATAAGGACGTATACCGCGTTGTTGTTGTATATAAACAAAAGAATGATAAACCGCGCATTGTGATATTAATAATAGTTATCGAGTTTATATATTAAAAATCATTTATTAGTGTTCGTGAGCTTAACTATAAGGTAAATCCTATTCAAGATGCCGGCTGAACCACTGGCTAGAGTTGTCCTGCGCGATGTAACCCCGGAAAGTGAGTATTGTTGCGCAGATTTTTTTTTTGTTTGTAAAATCAGATTTTAATCCTAATAACAACCTTGACCAAGCCATTGTAATTGTTTAGTGTGAAGTTGTTTCCGCAATTTTGAGCTATTCGTATTTCGCATTCCAAAATTGTACATAGTTTATGAATTGAATATTTATTAATATTTTGCGAGGTTCAAAATGTTAATACCACTTCGGTCATACTTTTATGAATTTAGATAAATAATAACATAGCCAGCTCTCTTTTTTCATATATTGTTGTTTACTTTTACAATTTACAATTTATCACACATAAAGGACTATAAAAAATATCTGTTATAAATAAGAGAACTGTAACAAAATATAATTTTATTACAAACTTTATGATTCATAAAAATGCGTATTTTTATGTGTAAATAAGTTAAATTACAGTTTCAATGTTGCCATCGTAAGGCATTTTTTTTTAAATATTAATATTTTAATTAAAAGAGGTCTTACATTCACATACTTCTTCGATGACGGTTAAACCCGGACGTAAATACAAAAACAAAACAAAGAACACATAACGTATTCAATAGTAGTAACGTGTAATTAAGATCAAGAGAAAATTTAAATTAATTTAAATTTAAACCACGTACAAACTTAGCATTCAATTAAACTTGTAATTGATAATGTTATTGTATAGAATCAATAAAAAAATTACCGATGCCAGCTTTGTATTATACTAATAGTGAAATTATAATAATTATTACTCTTTCGAGAGTTTTCTTGTTTTTATTTCAAAATGTAATATTAATATATTTAATACCGCGTACCTCGATTTTTTTTTCTCAAACAATAACCAAAGTTCTACATTATCTATACTTTAAGAATAGAACATTATACCATTTTTTATACGGTTTAAAAAAATCTATACTGTTTAATCTATTTTAATGTACATAAATATTTTATACAACAAATTTAATATTGAAAACGCAAAAAAAAAATCTAATATGTAATTATTACTGACTTTGCTATAGTTTCGTAAATGGTTTGCCGGGCTTTTTAGTGATGTATCAAGAAAACAACTTTAGGATCAAAAAAATCCAATTAAAATAAGTCAGGTTTGTTTATTATCGTGCATTTTATTTATTATCATGAGATATCAATAATTCATTTGTACGAGGAAAGGATAACGACTATATATACTTTGACTTCTGTGCTGTAACCTTAGTCTAAGTTGCCATGTTACTAAATACTTGTTTGTTTTTTGTAGTTTTTAATTTGTATCAATTTTTACTTATTATTATTATTATTATTAAGATCTTTCTCGCTATAGTTATGTATTAATATATTTTTAAACAAACATTGTAATCGTTGTGGCCACTTTAAAAAGCTACATGTAACCTATTTCATTTTAATTATTTTACATTCGGCATTTAAACATGTAGTAGCTGCTAGTGGTCCTTAAATAAATAAATAAATACAGAGCGTCAACGGTGATTCATTAATCGCTGTCTCAAAATACATTATTAACGTAGGTCGTGAAAGAAACGTGAAACTTTTCGTATGTAGTGACAACGCGTACTTAGAATACGCATACATTTTATACTTACTTCACGCCGTCTCCAATATATTTGTATAAATGTCACGTGTTTCGTAAATCCAACGAAGGCTAGGTCGTGTTTGTATTGTATTGACTTGATTTTGATCCTCGAAAAAATAAATGACTTTATTTATAAATTCAACAAATAGTTTTCAAAACGACGAAGTAAAAAGATATATGTTATTTTAAATCGATAAATGACATTTTTTTAAAACCAGTTGTTCCATTTTTGAATTTAAAAAAAAGTGTTTATAATGCCCTATTCGAATAAAATATTGATACAGATTAAACAAAAAATTAGTCAATGACGTTAAATGTTTTTTTTTTAAATATAGGAACTTTTTAAACTTAAAAACAAAGTTTCCTGAATATAAAATATATTTAAAAAAAAAAACAATATATACATATATTATAATTATTCTTTTGTCTTAATTTTCATTGTTTAAATTTTGAATCGTAATATATTTAAATCGTTTCGTTGTTCTTTTCACAGTTTATCAGTAAAATGTGAAACACTTAGTCATCCTTGTACTGAATAATAGTTTATAATACTATCTATGACCTACATACATAGACCTCGTTGACCCTACATTACGATAACAAAAATTAAACTAGTTATCTCACGCGGATACGTCTGTATTTATTTATATGAAACTAATATTATTTGGATATTCTACGCGGTTAATTTTTGTACAAAAACTGTGTACTCCGTACTTTCGGCTACTTTTCAGCAACCGTGATCACGGACAGACGATGTATTTATATGGTTTGCTTTTAAAATTATTATTTAGTAAAATTAATTATGAATATAATTTTGCTTAAATATATATTTTTATTTAATAAAAATGCGATCAATTTTATTAACTATTTCAATATAAACATATAGAAAGAAAAGGTTTATAAAGCATTCTGTTTGTGTCAATGTACTAATTAGTAATTGTATAAATTTGAATTGAATATAATGACAGTAAAACCACAAGTTTGAATCATCGAAGTGAAAATTATCAGTTTTTTTTATTAAAACCTACCTTAATAGTTGATACTATATACAGGGTGACTGGTGAATTACTATCGATATTTGAGGACGAGATATTTGACGATCATATATGACAAAATAAAAATTAATATAACATAAATATATTAATAAACTTCTAAGTAAAGTTAACCAAAAGTTATGTTATTAATTACGCATCGTGTGAACACCCTACAGATTAGGTATACACACACACACACACACATACGCGTGCGGCGGCGTGGTGTTGTATCAGCGCGCCGCCGCACTCGACCACACTTGGAACACTTATAACGTGTCCACACTTTATTTATTTATACAGAAATTTTGTCAAAAATTAAGTGCCTATTTTTTTGTACATAATTCGAATGAGAATCATGTACCGAGTATTCTCCTTAAGTATTGATAGTAATTCACCAGTCACCCTGTATATGGTAAAATAATAAAAGTAATATTTGTTATAAAAAATACGCATCAAAATCTCATTAACAATCCGCTCTCCAGTTATACATATAGTAATCGCTAGAAATTACAAAATACATCTATCTCGATTTTATTTCACAAGAATATTGTTTTGTATGTAGAAATATATTGAAATGCAAATGCAGTGTGACAAACGCAAATGGTTATCGAATTGAGGAAGTACTTTGTATACAGAGAATATAATTTTTTGCATACCTTTGAGTCTAATAGCTAATGTATAGAAAAAGGGGATAATGGATCTCTCCTTGGTATATTCATCGATATGGAGATATTTATATAATAAAATATTGTGTATACAGATAATATAATTTTTTATATACCTTCCAGTTTTATAGTCTAGTAATGTACCAGTAATCCAGTCTAATAGTTTATACATTACGTATAGAAAAAGGGAATAATGGATATCTCCTTGGTATATTGTTGATATGGAGATATTTATATAGTAAATTAATATTATATATGATTGTTTTTTTACACATTAGAACTTTGAACTGTCCCACTTCTATAGATAAATTGAACAACACATTTATAGATAACGTAACGTCCTATGAACAGATATATTTATTTTTTATATTTATATGATAAATGAATATTACATTTAATTTATAATTAATAGGATTTTTTTAATTTTTTGAAATAAAACGTAAGTTTTGACTTTGAAGCAAAATTCTATATTTAATAAATTTACTACTTTTAGTATTATTTGTACGTAAAAATATGTTAAAGTTAAAAAATATTCTTTCGTTAGTTGTTAGTCGTGAAAAGATTATAAAATATATTTGTATCAAAAAAGGTTGCATTGTTTGAATAAAGATAATAAATTTTCCTTAAACCTCCGTCGAACAATCGGTATAAGGCACGTAGCATATCAAAGTCACGATCGACTCTTATCAAACTATTGTGTAACCATGTAAGGAAATAAATTGATCTTAAGTTATTAATTATCTATATTTATAGATTATACTTTTTCTCAAAGAGGGTTGATGTCATTCAGGCGGCCGGTCGTAAAAACAATTAGCCAAAACTATTCACAACATGTAAGGCAGACCCTGGCTAAAGCTTGGAAATTGCCAGGTAGAAGAAGATAGATTATACTTTAATTAATACTAAAAGTAACATATGACTAATTTAATTAATATTTAGTTACAATTAACCTTTCTTTGATATAAATAAAAACTTTCGGTTTATATGAATATATCTGTCATAATCAATTCGTTTGCATTATGTAGAAATGCCAAATTTTGTCATCAATGTTGCCATAATGTAAAATTACAATTTTTACTTTTTCTAAATTAATCATCTTTTATTAATTCGTTTGCAATAAGAAGAATATTATCTCAATTTTTATCATCAATATTGCCAACATGTATTTTTTAATTTTTTAATTAGTCATAGTCATCATTGAACATGTACGAGATTTTTATCATTCAAACTAATATATTGGTTTCAATAAATTAATTACTATATTTCTTAATTCATTATATTACATGCATATTTCCTATACCAAAGAGATCTGTTCACAGAATTATTAAGAGCGTAGTGGGCGGGAGCAAAAACGTTTTGGAACTATTACGCAGCGGTCTATTGAAAAGATTGCGTTGAATTAGTTAAATAAAACAGTTTTACGAAATATCTATAAGGACAGCTAACAAAACTATAACATATCTCAATTTATTTTAGCAATACAATAGAGAAATTACAAAATAATTACAATGACTTGCAATCGTTCAATGAACGAATGGAAATTTTTTGGCGCCATTCCAAACATACGATTATTTCATTCCCATTCATTTTAATACACAGAGTATATTTAATTACCGCTCACTAAATATTATAATTGATGGAATATTCTCGCTCAAGGTTCTCACTTTCTATTTTAATATTATTTTGTAATATTTGACCAAATATATATTTTATAATTAATGGGTAT